GTGGAAATGAAAGGAATATATTCGTTATTTCGTAAACCGGAGACTTTAAGGAAAAATCATGAAACCCGTCGATTTTTATTTTTAAATAAGCTATTCGTAAGAATACATTTTTATTTTTGATATCATCTATGTGAGCGTGATGACGTCATTGCTAAAATTTTTAAATAGAATGGGGGGTATTGTAATACATCATTTGAAAGGTCTTTTAAATACCTATTCAGCCATATCAATATGTCTGAGTATTTGATGTTTGTAATTGTTTAAAAAAAAAAAATTAAATATTTATTATTACAATAAATATTTATTAAGTATTGATATGATGTATTATTGATACCCAAAAAGAAATTTTATAAAGGCCATCACTGGTAATGAAATGTCATTTTTATCTACTTTTTACCTTTTTAAAAAAACTAGTTACCTTATCAATATAAACATTGATAGTTGGACATTCAAACTTAATTATCTTCCTGTCAAGTGATTAATAGTATTATTGTAGTAAACGTATTCAAAAAGTCTTTGTATCTTTGAACATAAAGCTAACTGAAACACGCTGAAACGCAAAGAATTGAAATTCTCATAATGATTGGTTATGGAGATAAAACACGTACGCAGAAAGAAGTATGTGCGTTATTTAATAATAAATACCCCCATTGAGAACCAATTTCACAATCCACTGTAAGCAAAATTGAGAAAAAATTTAGAGAAACGGGTCATGTTAAAGACCTTCCTAAAGGTAGTAGAAAACCAATATCTGAAAACCAACAAGTAGATGTTCTGTTAACTTTTCAAGATAATCCTCACAACAGTTCACGGCAAGTAGCATTAGATAATGACATGGACCATTCAACAGTTCTTAAACAGCTAAAGAAGGGAAAGTGGCATCCCTACAAAGTAAGTTTAGTACAAGAACTTATGGAAGATGATTTTGATAGACGAATTGAATTTTGTGACATTATAATGGAACGAAATAATAGAGATCCGATGTTTTTAAAAAAGATTATTTTCTCTGATGAAGCTACATTTCTACTAAACGGTCATGTCAATCGTCAAACTTATCGGTACTGGCCTACGGAAAATCCACACTGGATGCAAGAGTATCGTACTCAATACCCAGAGAAAATTAATGTTTGGGTTGGGAATAATAGATAATAGGTGTATTGGACCATACTTTTACGAAGAAAACTTATCAGGTCCTCGATATTTGGAATTTCTTCAAAATTTCTTGCTTCCAGAATTGAACCGGTTGTTTCCAAACAGAAATGATTTATGGCTACAGCATATGGTGCGCCTCCACACTACGCTGTCTTGGTACGCAACTACTTAAATAACGTCTTTCCAAATCGGTGGATAGGTCGAAGAGGAACAATAGAATGGCCGCCTAGGTCACCTGATTTGACTACTCTTGATTTCTTTTTATGGGGATATTTAAAAAGTAAGGTGTATCAAAATAGACCACAAAATATTAATGAACTGAAAGAAAGAATACGTAATCAGGTTGTTCAAATAAGTAGAGAACGGTTCGCTTGAGACAGACAATGTAACGTCACTGGCGCCAATGTCGGTAAGCATTGGATCTGCATTACCGGCCTAGCATGAACCAATTAGTCAGGATCGAAACCGATGACACCATAGTTTGACTATTATCCGCTATGCGGCGCTAGTCATTTTAGTCACGTTAAGATAAATATCAAACGCAAACACTGTGCCAAAACGGCATTACGTCATATCTCCATTGATATTGGTCAGATCATGACTTACGAGGGCTCGTTGGAATGGTAAGAGGGTAGCGAATACGTTAACATAAAAAAGAAACGCAAAAGACAAAAGACAATGCCAAAAGGACACTAAGCTTGTAACGTAAAAACGACTCAACGTATAATAATGTGCGACATATCGATAGGTAGGGGAGGTGGTAACGATTATGTTAAGATAAAAATCAAACGTAAAGACAATGCCAAAACGAACGGTGATGTGTGTGGTGTTGATGGAAAGGTGGTAACGAATATCAGGAAGTTTTAGAGAATGTTAGAGAAGAGTCCGCGGCACGTCTTTTTCATTGTATTTTAGCTGAAAGTAAACAATTTGAGCACTTAATTTAGGTTTCGTTGTATTTATTGAATAATACTTAATAAATATTTATTGTAATAATAAAAATTTAATTATTTTTTTAAACAATTACAAACTTTAATTACTTAGACATATTGATATAGCTGAATAGGTATTTAAAAGACCTTTCAAATGATGTATTACAATACCCACCTTTCTATTCAAAAATTTTAGCAATGACGTCATCACGCTCACATAGATGACGTCAAAAATAAAAATGTATTCTTACGAATAGCTTATTTAAAAAAAAAAATCGGCGGGTTTCAGGGTTTTTCCTTAAAGTCTCCGGTTTACGAAATAACGAATTTATTCCTTTTATTTTCACCATACTGTATAAGTAAATAAAAACTATTTTTGAAGTTATAATTCTTAATCCGCGATTGGGAAAAATTTATGAGACTGAATTTTTATACAATTCACAGTATGAAATACATCATGAAGTTGTTGCTACATCTAAATTTTTTAAGTTAGGTACAGTTGCGGTCACGGAATAGTTTACAGGTTCACGTATCTAGGAGCCCATTTTTTAAATTTTTACTTCGTTTAAACGCACCTTTTACGTCAAAGTGACGTTGCCAGTGGTGTACTAGCTAGAACAGGTAGATTAAAATTAAAATATCAAAATATTTTACAAAATGAAAAATATAGAAAACAGTTTTTTGAATAAAATGGATTATGATCTTAATAACGAAAATAAAGAAGTCTTTTTTTTTAATATGCATTTTATTTTAAATCTATTTTATATTAAATAACGATAAACAATGATAAATAATAATTAATATTTGGTGGAAGCCCCATTCTTGTCAATACAATTTTGCAGTCTTCTGTTCATAGATAGCACCAATCCCCTCATGTTATAGTTAACAAGCTCTTCCCATGCCTGCTCAATTGCTTCCCATAATTCAATTCTATTCCGTGGTCAAGGTTTCTTTCATTTAGTTTCTTTGTTAACTCTGCCCACACATTTTCGACGGGGTTAAAGTCTGCACTACGGGAAGGCCACGGAAGAACATTAACATCAGTTTCTTCTAGCCATTCTCGAACAATTCTACTCGTATGCACCGGGCAATTGTCATGTTGGAAGATAAAGTCGTTGTTGGGGAATCTCTGGATCACCGATGGCAACATTGTGTGCTCAATAATATGTTTGTAATATAATCCTGTTAACTTCTCCTCTACATGATAACAAACGCCCGGGCCTCCGGCACTTATCCATCCCCATACGTTGACAGAGAATCCTCCACTATTTCTTAAATGATGCGTATACTGTTCATCATACCTATGATTTCTTGGCCTATAAACTCTTATTCGACCATTATTATACGACTGAAATACTTTTTCATCGGAAAATACAACCCTAGACCAAAAATTCTCATCGCGGTTTATAAATTCATTACAAAATTCAACTCGTCTCCTCTTGTGATCCTCAGTCAAAAAAGGTTTCCGTGCAGCTACACAATTTAGCAGTCCACTTGCTTTAATTCTTCGACGTGCAGTGCGAATACTGCCTGGAAACGCTGCCTCTTCTCTTGCCTTTTGAGCTGTGGCAAAAGGAGATTCTCTCAAATAATCTACTAACATCTCATCCTGTTGATCTGTGGAAATCTTCTGCCCTCCTGAACCGCCCAACCGTGCTATAGAGTGAAAATTATCCCATCTTTGTTTAATCTTCCATATGCACATATGACTCACGTTCAAATCAGCAGCAACTTGCCTTAGTAACCAACCTTCTTCGAGTTTGGCAATTGCTCTTGCTTTTTGCGCATAATTCAAATGTATTCTAACCATTTTGGAAGAGTTTAATATACTTTTATTTTATTGTTGAACACTCGCGAAAGCATTGACGTTTTGAAATTTTTTGACTTTGACATTTATCAAATCCGTACGACACTGCAATTTTACAGTATTACAATATAAAAAGTAAGGTGTAAACTATTCCGTGACCGCAACTGTACCTATTAATGAAAATAAAGTGGAAAAAAATATATTGATGTTTTTGTTAATTTGCTCATATTAAGAGTTAAGTTAAGACGGTGATAGATAGTTACTGATAATTTGTATACTGTATATGTCTATTTTGTATATGTGTAAAAGTCGACCTGGTTCAGTAGTTTTCATCTACTTTATAATTACGTAGAAATTACATTTATCCGTTATCTTAGTATGTCACTGTATAATAAATTAATATTAAGTGTTCATTGACAAACTTGACACGGTTAATAAAACGGTTGACACGGTTAAAAAAAAAACTGGTGGTAAATCCACCAAAAGAAAATTTCTATTGTCGTAAATGAAAAAATATTTTATTTTGTCAGTCTTAATTTTGAAAAAAGGTAAAGGTAAATTTTTGTAAATACTATATTATGAGGTAGTTTACTTTAAAAATAATCAGTATTTCAATCAATTGGTAAAAACATTTAAGTACACAAATTATTAATTCGAAATTCAACACTTTCAAGTTACAATAGGTATCAATAGGTATCAAAATAGTAAGTCGGTTTTTAAAATTTCGCAAAGATCTTGTCCCTTACTATACAAATATACAATACAAAAACACATAATATATTTTAAACACACATTAAACAAACAAATAATCCAAAAAAAAACAAACAAAACAGCTACAATTTAATATTGCGATGGTAATATTACCACTTTCAGATTTTTTGTCATCAAAAAGAAGGCTATTGCCTTTGACAAGATCGATGCCAGCTTGCCGTCAACAGCCAGTTTTTAAAAAACATAACCCAACTTACCAACTTGTTGGTTATACTTTTTGCACAATTTTTTAAATATATTTTTTAAACATCTTTTTTGAGAACGATTTCTGAAGTGGAAATTGAAACGTCAAAAGTTATTAACAATGTAATTTTCGTTACAATCAATTGTGACTTAACCTCAAATAAACATAATATGTACACTAAACGCACACTTTACACAATTTTCTTTAATAAACAACAAATTATGAAGATAGAACTTTAAATATACTCATATATTCGGGAAATATGTGGAAAATGTGTAGTAACTTTGTTAAAAGTCATTTTAAACATTTTTTGTTTAATTTCTAGGTAATAATTATTTATTATAAAGTCAGTAATACATATTCATAGCCGGTAAAAATTTTAAAAATTTATTGGTTATTTACCAATACCAACTGCAATGTTAGAATAAAAAATATTTTTAGTATTTTAAAAATGCTACTACATCTAATGATAGCAAAAGCTTCCTCGTTAGTAATCTCATTGGAAATCACAAGAAATAGTACAGTCACTGAAGGTTTTCACTCCGATTTCTAAACTCCATCGATTTTCATGAAAATGGATACCTCAAGAAACAAAAGTGACATGGTGTTAACATGCGCTTTTACCCTGGGGCTGGATGTCACACCTTCTCGGAGGTGTAAATTATTTTATTAAAAATATCCCCAGAAATCGATAGAGGGACCAAATCTAAATAAAATTTATCTAATAAAGTTATTAAAATAAGTTAATTGTTTTTGAGTTATTGAAGATCAAAAATTTGGATTTTTCGTGAAAAAATGCATGTTTTAAAGCAGTTTTTCATAAATAACTCAAATTCTATAAGTTTTTTGTAAAAAAGTTGTCATTACCAGAATTAAAGGTAATAAAAAATTAAATAAACTCCTTGCTTGAAAAACCTTTTAATATTAATTCAAAGTGGGTTATAGGTAATTAAATATATTTTTTTTTCGGCGGGTACTCAAATCTGAATATTCAAGCTTAAATAACAGGAAAACAATGCAATTTATAAAACATACTTAATAAACAATTTTTAAAATACTCAGAAATACCTATAAAATGAGCCCTAGAAGAAGTTAATACCGTCAAAATTAAGCAGGTTATGATTAAAATAAAAGGACCATTTCGATTTTTTTTTTTGGAAAAAGTGACAAATAAAACATACGCCATTGGCACAAAAATTTAAATTTATAGTAATTCCTATAAGACTTTCTTTATTTTAGCATAAGTAATGACCTCAAAAATTTTGATTGGTTTAGAATGCATAAAAAATATTGATTTAAAAAAATCAGATATTTTCTAATTTTCATAAATTTCATTTTTTTTTGAGAATAATTCCATTTATACTCAATATACTTAAAACCTAAATTTTACTGCGAGAACCATGTAATCGGCGCCCTTTAACCTTTTATCTTTTAAAAAATAAGGGTTTTAATAGATTAAATTGAATACTACTTTATAGTACTTAAAATTACCTTTCGAATGATTTTTAAATGAACCTGATATCATAAAAATTCTTTGGAGTAGAGATTTTGTATGTATATATAGGAAAAAAGATAGGTAACAAGAAGTAAACTTGTCGATAAGTATATGCTCACGAAATATACATATGTGGATGTGTGTATGTATATTTTGAAGATAGAAAAAGTTAGTGAAAAGAATTCTGTGAATATAGTGGGAGTTTCTATAAAGTAGTACTTTCTTAGACTTTCTTTTATAGTATGCTGTGTGTCTATTGAATATGTCAGTATAACTCAACAGATATAGCTGCAACGTTCAAGGTCACTTCATCGATAAAGGGAGGAGCCAAAACTCAGTTATATGCAAGCCGCCGAAGCGTAAACATCCATATATTTAGCATTGAACATAAATTCTACTGCGTTTGCTACGTTGTCGGATAACTTCGTGAAATTATATGCTAGGTTTTACTACTAACTTAGCAAATAACATATTTTATCAGTTACCTCAAACATTTTAACATTGATATTACTGCTCTGATAATAAATATAATTCTAAACTCAATACAGTAATTATGGAGTATTAATATTACAGTTCAATACATCTAAAATAATATTAGATTAGGCAAGACCGCATCAACCAACGTGTGTCGTGTCTGGTCGTGTCAGACAACTAAAAATAGTGCAGTCAAGTTTTCATCTCTGGTCCTAACGGTTGCTGCATTGGATGAACACATCAAAAGAGTTTATTTACAAACCCAGATATAGCTTGGAAACAAAGACATTTGTCCAGTTGACTGGGGATGGTGCAAAATTGAGTCTTTGTTTCCAACTAAAAATCCCAATCCACCTGCTCCAGAAGAATTGTTAAAAATTATTTTTTGCAACTGCAAAAATGGTGCGGCGGGTGTCGAAGAGAGGGTTATTTTGCAATGCAATCTGTGGATCATGTAGTGGGGACAATTGCCAAAATAGCCCTCAATTAATGAAAAAGGAGAAATTGGAGAAGAGAGCTCTGATGAAGAGTGAAAAATTATCAATTAAAGTACTATTAATATTTTATTTATTTATGAAACATTACTTAATTAAAAAATGAATGAACTTTTCATAAATTTTATTATTTATTTTAATACGGTTTTCTCTTAACTAACAAGCATAAACATAAGCACTAAAAAAATTGTCCAGGAAATGTGAAAAGAATAATAATTATAAAGTTTGGAATATATAAATAAAGTTGATCTTAAACAATAAAAAAGTTCATAAATGATTAAAGCTATTAAAGCTAATAAAAAAACATTTTTCATTATTTTTATGACAAGGGTTAATTTTTAAGGGTGCAAAAATACGCAATAAATAAATAAATACTTTAATACTTAGTAAATGAGTATGAATGATTTCAAGTCAGTAATGTATTATTTAAATAATTAAAGTTTCTTGAAATTAATTTTTTCAATGATTCTGCTTTAATGGGTGGTTTTTAAGGGTTGAAATTGCACAGTCAATCAAAAATTATACCATAAACATTAAAGAAACTATTTGTGTAATATTAATATGCGATTTGATATTTCAGAAATATAAAAAATGATTTTTTAATGATTTTCGATTTAAGGGATAATTACTAAAAGGATTGAAAAATTTATTTAAATAATAAATCATGCTTATAAATGTTGCAAAATATTTATTTTATTTAATAAATCAAGATTACTTATTCCAGAATACTTAAATCTGCATTTTTTACCATTTTTAACAAAAGGGGTTGATTTCACCCCTAAAATGCAAAAAGCGCGAGTTGAGCATATGTCACTTTTGAAGTTGAGGGTAAAATATACTTAATCCCAAATTGTCATGCAAATCGATGGAAATTCACCGAAATCGGAAGTAATAGTTGATTTTTACCTTCATTCACTGTACTAAACGATAATAATCCAGACGGTACACTTATAAAACAACCATTTTTGAATGTGAAGTATAAATCGCAGTTTTTTGCATAAATCGCTCCAAAATATCACTACAAGTCATAATTTCACTATGCTTGTGTTGTAAAATATGGGCTTAACTTATACTAAACAAAATTTAAAAAATCATTTTTTTAAATTCGATATTTTTCCTACTTTTTGCATATATCTCAAGAACTATTTTTTAAGCCCTTGTCTCTATTCGGATTGCCGAATATAGGCGTCTCCTGATTCTTGCCATTCATCTCTCTTGTTTGTAAGACGTTTCCACATTAGTCCTGCAGTTCTTTTAATATCGTTGCTCCAGCGCATTTTCGGTCTTCCTCGTGGTCTTTTGGCTTCATATCGCCGCAAATTCCCGATATCTTTATTCCATCATCCATCCCTACGACCTTCGTTATGTCCAGCCCATTTCCATTTTAGTCTAACTGTCTGTTCGACAGCATCTTTTACTTTTGCTCTATTACGAATGTCTTCATTGGTTTTATGGTCTTTGAGTCAGATACCCAGCATCTGTTGTTCCATAGCTCTCTGAGTTTTTCTGATCTTCGCCAGGTTTATTTTAGTGAATATCCAGGTTTGAACTCCATACGTATGTACAGGTAGGATACAGGAATTAAACACTTCGGTTCGTAGTCTTTGAGGTATCTTTTTATTTACGTAAAAGTACGTTAAAGAGTCGTCCGAATGCTGGTTATCCCATTTTTACACGTCTGCTTATTTTGGTAGTCTGCTTTTCTTTGCTTACCTTGACATTTAAACCCAGATATGTATATTTATCTACGTGTTCTATCTTTGTCCCTTAGATGTTTATTACAGGTTTGTCACCTTTGTTTGACATTAGTTTAGTTTTGCTGAAATTCATGTCCAGTCCTGTTTTTAGGGATTCTGCGTGTAGCTCCTCAATCATCGTATTTAGTGCATTCCATGTGTCGGCTATTAGTACTACATCATCTGTGTATCTAAGGTGGTTCAAGTATCTTCCGTTAATAGGGATTCCCCTATTGTCCCAGTCTATTGGCTTAAAGATATCTTCTAGGGGCGCTGTAAATAATTTTGAAGATATGTGTCTCCTTGTCTTACGCCTCGGTTGATTTTTACTGATCTTGTTTCGATTCCGTTACCCAACGTCACTATCATTTTAACTTGTTCGTAAATATTATGTATTAATAGTTTGGTCTAACTCAGTTTGGATTTAAGAATGGGTTCGGAACAAGAGAAGCACTTTTTTTCAATACGTGTGCTAGTTGAAAGATGTAGAGATGTCGATTCTGATGTATACTTGTGTTTTATAGACTTTCAGAAGGCGTTTGATCTGGTGAAACATGATAAACTAATAGATATTTTAACGTTATTTGTAATATAGACGATAAAGACTTAAGGATCATTTCAAACCTCTACCAAGAACAAAAGTCTAAAATCAGAATAAAAAGCGAAACATCTGGAAAAATCAATATCGAGAAGGGAGTAAGACAGGAATGTGTCCTATCACCTTTGCTGTTCAATGTTTACTCTGAGAAGATATTTCAGAAAGCTTTGGAAGACACCTCGGATGGTATAATTATAAACGGGCAATGTATAAATAACCTGCGATATGCTGATGACACTGTCATACTGACAGATAATGCTGAAGACCTGCAACGCATAATGGACCGAGTAACGACAGCCTGTAGAGAATTTTAAATGAAATTGAATACAAAGAAGACAAAAACGATGGTCATCAGTAAGCACTAAAACAGAAGGGTGAAGGTCAATGTTGACGGAACAGATCTAGAAAGAGTAAC